CCTGCCAGCTCGCCCGCCTGGCTGTCTTCCCGAAGGAACCGCCGTGGGCCAGTCCTGCAGGGCTGGGATCTGCGGGGCCTCGGTGGCGGCACCCAAACCGGGTACCTGGGCAGCCAGGGGGGGCGCTGGGCTGGGTGGGCAGCAGACCCCGTCGATGGGCACTGTCACACCGCCCGGTTTTCTTTCTCTTCCTTCTGTTTCTCCTTCCCCCGGCCCTCTCCGCCTGCAGCCCGGTTTCCACGCTGGAAGGGAGCAGGGTCACCCCAGCACCAGGCAGCCCTGCCCCTCTCCCAGGCACAGCCGTGCCCACCGGAGCCAGTGCCAGGGAAACACCCGGCAGCAGCAGAAACTGCAGAAAAGGCAGAACTCCAGAACCGCCACAGAATAAGATTTTTAAGTTCTTTCTCCTTTTCTGCCCACTTTAACCTTTCAGGTTGCTGACACTAACGGGATGCGGTGGAAGTGAGGTAACTAATTAGATGCGCCGGAGACGGAACACTGATTGTTAAGTCTCTCTCGCTAATTAGCAACAGCCTTTGCAGGGCCTGACGGCAGGGCTGGACAGACCTGGCAGGATGTGCCCGCCGCCTTCTCCGGCAGCAGGAAAATCAGAGCAACACAAAACAAAAGGAAAAAGGAAAAAGCCTTAACTTGCTTTTCCTTTCATTTTGGTTTTAGCAGAACCACATTAGGCCAGTTGTAAAAAATCAGTGGTTTTGTCAACCTGTGGGTGTCTCGTGATGTTGGGAGAGGTGACGACTGCAAGGACAGTACTGCCTACGGGTGCCCTCCCGCCCCTGGGAAAGGCCACAAGGAGCACTAAGTGGAAGACAGACGAGGGAAAGGAAAGGGGCTGAAGACAGGCACTGTGAGACAGAGAACATGTGGGAATGCAGCTGTGTCAACACAACCCACACAACTGGGATCTTGCGTCGTCCTGACGTAAGGATTAAGCTCCAGAAACCTGCTGCTGCTTGGAACTTCAGCGGTGAGAAAGCAGAGGGCCTAATTACCAAAGCACAGTTTTAATAAACAGGCTTCAGGCTTACATGTCAAAAGGATTTATAAATAAACATAATCACAATACATACATTCTGGGGTATTTTAAAAAGTATTCATTATAAGGTAATAGATATTTTCTGAGTTATAAAATCCCATATAAATAGCAAATTATTCTCAGTATGCAGAGTATAAGAATTATAGAATCACAGAATGGTTTGGGTTGGGAGGGACCTTAAAGATCATCCAGTTCCAACCCCCCTGCCACGGGCAGGGACACATAAAAACTGGGGTGAGTATCTGAAGGGAATCCTGAGTACATGCTCCCCACATGGCAGAAAACAGAACAATGACCCAGTTGGACACAATAAATACTTGTTGTCCTAATACATGATTTGTCCCAAACTGTCAAAATGGAACCAAGAACTTTCTGGTTGCTTAACCTTGTTCAGCTCCATAGAAATAAGAATGGGTCTGGATACTCTGCTCCTTGAGATTGCAGGAGCAGCCCCGTAGTTTTGGAGTCAGAAGAGGAGCGGTGCGTGTGGCTTCTGGTGGACAGGAGGAAGGCCGGCACGCACCTAGAGCGGGCGCGGGCAGGCCGTGGGCAGCAGCTGGGGTTACAGCCCCAGAGCAGTAAAAGGCATCTTTGGACGAAGGTCTGTGGCAACAGCATCTGGTGGTTACACGCAAGTGGCAGCCAGTTCTTAACGTTCCTCAAGGTTCCCCTGTTTATCCCCGGCCTAACGATCCAAATTAGGGGACACAAGGGGAAACTTCACAAGCCGTGGGCAGGACGGAGAGCGGAGCGTTCACCCTGTGTTCTCCCCCGGCCTTTCCAAGCGGGCTGCGGACGTACACGAACGGTAACGCTCATAACGATGCGACTTCGCCTCCTAGACCAAGGCGGGCCGCAGCACTGCAAGGGGACGCCAGCTTGCAGGAGCCCGTCGTTGCACTTAAATTCTGGATTCTGAGCAACGTTTTGTTATTGTGGCACAACTGTTTGGGTTTTTTTTTTTCTTCTGATCATAACAAAAAAAAAAGTCAATTATTCCTGGAAGAAGCAAGGGCTGTTCTGCCTGTTGTTCTCAAGGAGTAAGGCAGTCATTAAATGTTCCCTTAAACAGTGCTATTAAGCCAAATGCAGTGTTTCCTTTCTCCAGGGTCACAGCTCCGACCTAGCACGACGCCGTGAATCATCAGAGCCAACTCCCAGTGCAAACTGCAGGAGGCACAGAGCGGCTTATGCTTGGCTTCTTACTACAGAGTCAACTCAGCAGAGATCGTGAAGTCAACAGGAAGCATTCACAGCCTCCTGGCTTTTTCCCGGGATCAAAAACCGGGTGGACGATGTTACGCTGAGGTCGAGCCACAGTTGCCAAGAGCAGAGCGTCACGAGGGAACAGATGCCTGGTTACGCTTTAGATTCAGAAATTCTCAATAGTTTTGTCCTTTCAAATACTGCAAGGAACTAGTCCTTTTTTTCTCGGTATCGCACGGATACTAACGGCTTCTCTCATGGCAATTTTACTCCTGTTTTGTGGTTAGAAACCCAGCAACTGGGAGTTGTGAATGTTGCATGGTACGTTCAAATGGGAGACAAGACAAAAGAGTGGCACTCGCAGGGTGACTTTTTAGTCCAGAGAAAAGCTCTTCATTTTTTCTGCTAATTCCTGTCTCATTTCTATATGTTTTTTCAGGTTCTGCACTTCGTGGGGCAGGTTCATGTCCCACACCGACACGCAGGATTGTAATTCTGGAAAACAAAATTAACAAAAAAAATTGAAAACTGCAACAGAAGAATTATTGCGTAATCAGAAGTGGTTTTGCTCATCTGCTTTTTTTTTAGTTAATCATAAATTGCCTCAATTAACATGATGCTTAGGCCCTGGCAGACAAGTTATATGACACTTCCTGCGTGAGGTAATGCACTTGTGGGTTACAAGCTGTTTGTACTTGTGCAATGATTTGGATTCCAGTTCCTAGACCTAGAATGCACCATCTCAAAGCCCTTGAAAAACCATTTCTGGTGCCCCTGGGCCGTAGGATACTGACCTGAGCTACAGCTAGTACTGAGGTGCCTGAGCAGCTATACCCTCAACGCTTACAAGACTCAAAACCCATTCACTGTAAACTAAAACCGAAAACTGATTTCATAAGGTTGTGAGAACACTGGAAAAAGGTCACTTCTTCAATCTCACTTCATGCAAACAACTCTCCACGGAGGATTCACATTGGTTTTAGTGGAATAAGGATAATGGAGAACACTTGCAGGAGCAGGAGCTCACAAACTAAGGAAACTGAGGTTTCTGGGAGTCTGATTCCTCTCTCTATACTGTATTTAAGTGTGCTATTAATTAAAGAGGCTAAAAGGCAATAGGTGCCCTTCTGGTAATCATCAGGGAGTATCAGAATATAAACCCCACTGCTCTAAGTTTGATTCTGACTTTACTCCGCACAGTCAGCTCACCTACACTTGCCACCCTTAACTCCATTCTGGCATTGCCACGTTTGTAGGAGTCACAGAAACTGGAATGAGATAAAGGTGAGGAAGGGCATTGGTCGGAGTATCAGCTGTAACTGTTCTTAGAAAAAACCCAAAGATGGAGATTTTCCATCTTCATGTTGCAGCACTTTGCCATCCTAATTGTCAGGGAGCTTTTCCTGATGTCTGACCCAAATCTCCCTTGCTGTAGTAGAGACTGGTTAGTCCTTATCCTCCCCACAGGGAATATGCAGAAGTTTTTATTCCCTTCCTCTTTATTTACCTATTTGAAGCCTGTTATCCTGTCCTCTCTAAGCTTTGTAAGAACCAACTTCAGCTCCTGCAGCATTTCCTCACGGGTTGCATTTCCCTCCTCTGAACTAATAGTCCAGATGGTTCAGCCATGTCCCAGATGGATACGGTCCTCCAGGAGAGGCCGTATCAGCTCTCAGCGGAGTGTAAGAATTAGCTCCTGTCTTACAGACCCCCCTTCTCGGCTGGTCTTTGCCCCTTCTGCAGCCACGTGGCAGGGTTGACCCCTGTTCAGCCGGCGATCACGTGCAGCCCGCCCTTCTGCGGCGCTGCTGTTCAAGCTGATCGTTTCCTCATGTTGGTACAGTGGAGCATTCCTAATTAAGCCAAAGGTCTTCTTGCATTTGTCCTCACTGAACTCTATCCTATTTCCTTCCAGACCATTCGTCAGGGTCATTCTGAATTCTAATCCTGCCCTCCCGTGTGCTTGTGGCTTTGTTTTAGCCCAATTTGTCTGCGAATCTGGAAAGCACATTATTCCTTCACATCACTCCTGAAAACACTGAGGATTCCTGGCCTAGGAGAGATCCCTCTGGAATTCCATTCAAGACATTCTCCAATTAGACAATGACATTTACCCTCCAAATACAGTTTTCCAGCAGACGATACACTTCAAATAGTGGCCTCCTGTGATCCCTTTGTGGCAGTTACTGTTAGTTGGTATGGAGCCCAGAAACGCAAAAGACAACAAAACCCAACAATGACGTTTCAGTAACATTGTACCAAACGGTGATCATCCTCTCCCGGCAGGTAGTCAAGCGCAGTAGTGTCTGCTCCACTAATAACACAAACTAAGGAAACACAGTTCAGGTACCTTTGTGGTATTTGTTGTCTTCGGTGTCACTTTTATAGCAATACCCCAAAACCAGGACTGCGTTCTTGAGGCTCCCTTTTTCAAAGAAATAAGATGTCAAATTTTAATTTTAATGGGAACTGTGTAGTTGAAGGACAGAAAGAGTAGAGGACACCATGCCACTGAGAGGACAGAAAGCAGAGTGCAGTCAACTGGACCCTTTATTCGAGACACTTAACCATGAAAAACCCAGACGTGAAACCAGCCTAGTTCACGTCTCCGCGTGATGTCGGGGTTTATCAGGGTGCGAGGCGGAAGCGCTGACCAGCCACTGAACACGGCCAAGAACAAAGCACCCTAGTCTATGCCACAGGCAGAGGTAGCAGATGCCACAGCGAAGGGACCGGCTGCACATGAAGTCCCCAGTGCAGAGCAGAAAGAGAAGGTGCCGGCCATCAGTTTGGTTATGAAAAACCAAAATGACCACATATGATCCAACTCATTAAAAGTGAATTAACGATGGCATGTAGCTAGGAAAGGAGTGTTAGCAGGGACGTAGGAACAGGGGATGGCTTATAGGAAGGGGCTAGTGAACAACGCAAAAAAAAGACTAGGAAGACAGGAGTGGTTGGATTGCAGAGGGCTAAGTGGGATGTGCCCGTGTTTCAATATCAACCTCACGCTTATTCCCAACAAGACGTGTTTATAGATGTCTTGGAGGACAGATGGAAGCTGTTGGTGTTCTCCTGCCACAGCAGCTCCCTGTCCTGCTGGCACCATGCTGGCGGTGAGCCCTGGCTGTACGCTAGTAGAAGAACACAGGACCCAGCCTGTCTACCTGTGCCACGGATCGGGCCAGGGAAGGAACAGCCCTCCCTGTGCAGACACCCCGGGAGCAGCACTGTGCCCCACACCTCTCCATGCATGAGGTCCTACACACTCCCCCAGGGAAAAGACGAGGAGGGGGTCAATTTCTGGGGTGTAAATAGGCTGGAGCATGGCTCACTGTGAAAGCCACAATCTTGGAACGATTTCCATATTCACAGATGAACTACAGATAAAAATGATGTCTCAAATTCTGGCAATCTCTTTTCCCTGAAATATTTACATCTGATTGACATTATATATTTTAATCTTCAATGAAACTATTTAATACAAGAATATTTCCTTCTATCTTCTCTCATTTCACATAAGCAATGTGTTGCCATTGAAGAATTGTTCAGCAGCCTCAGTGCCATTTTCACTGATTCTCTGAAAATCCCAGTAAAAACAAAGTCTCTGAATTTGGAAAAAAACCCCCAACCCTTATAAATAATTGCTGGGAAAAAAATGATCAAAAGAAAAAAGCACACATCAAACTGCAGGTTGCCATTCTTGAGATTGGGTTAAGAGCAGCTAAACTCTTTCTCCTGAAGCGTTCACTTTTCTGTGCATGAAATTTACATTCAAAATGTTGAGGTGACCAGAAACAAAGACTATGAGGCTCACAGCTTTTTAAATCACACTCTATTATGCTATACAGTATGCTTTCCCTAGCAATGACATTACTAAGTGAGGCAGAAATTTTGGTTTCATAGTAACTATTCTTTACAAAATGCTGAAAATAAAATGTCCCTTTATAGTACTAATCTCATAGCTCCCAGGACTAGAAGGACTGAAAGGCTGTGCTAGTCACTCTGGACTCTGTAGCCAGCACTCTCGACAGCTGTGGGATGAACAGACTCTACAGACTTGCCGTCTCAGGCCAAGGCAAATCGGAGGAAGATGGAGGTTTTTCCACTGGTACCACACTGTCAGCATTATGAGGGGGCTGTACTCTGTGGATACTTGTTGCCAGAAAGGAAAAAACAGCCCTCAAATTAAATTCCTGATGGTAATGGTGAGGCACTGGAACAGGTTGCCCAGAGAAGCTGTGGATGCCCCATCCCTGGAAGTGTTCAAGGCCAGGCTGGATGAGGCTTTGAGCAACCTGGTCTAGTGCAAGGTGTCCCTGCCCATGGCAGGGGGGTTGGAACTAGATGGTCTTTAAGGTCCCTTCCCACCCAAACCATTCTATGATTCTGTGAGGAAACATCCACAGCCTGCAACTCTGAAGTCTGCTTGCAGGATTACAGTGTGTTTCTGAGTCCATGACAACAGCTTCAGACTTCTTTTGGCAGCAAACACACTTCAAACCACACTGACAAGGGCACTCCAGTGGTTTTCAAAACAGAGTGGAAGGCCATGGGAATTCACAGAGTACTGTTGAAGTAATGTGTGTTTTGAACCTACACTGCAGTACAACGAACTCTTGAGTTGCGATGGCCTCTGTTACTTTTGGGGGAGATGCAGGGAAGTGTAGAGGTGGAGGAAGTTACAACAGCCAGCAAGTGCCCCATACTCCACTACGGACTGCTGGCTGTTTGCCATAACCACTGCAAACCCACGACACCTGTCCGCCTACAGCAGCTCCAAACAGCTGTCCCAGGCGACGGAACAGCACGTACGAACAAGTCTGCGCCCTGAGGCCACGCGTGTAGCGCTTTTCCAGGTTGCTGTGATCTGCCTGTGAGCCAAACCTAAAAAAATCACTCCTGAATAAGGATGGGAGAAGAAAACTGGGCAATACGTAACGAAGGAAAAATTATTAAAACCTAACAAGCCCCACAGAGGAGGAATCCAGAAGCGTAAAAGTTGTGATGGAGACAGAACACGGGCAGACACAGGTCAGGACGAAGACCGAGAGCTGTGCGAGAGCATGGCACGAGGAGGCAGCGAAGCGGGCCGGGTTCACGTGCCCATCAGCGAGAAGCCGGGAGGAGCTGTTGTTGCACGTGGGCGCAGGTACGACAGCCTGTTGGTATTCAGCCAACACCGGAGCGTCTGACACTGACTGAAGATGACAGCAGTGGAAGAGAATTAATGAACGAAACACAGAAAATGCTAATCTGTTCCTGGAACACCATGCCAAACAGGAGACAGTAATGCTAAGCTTGGCACCGATTTCAAAGTGCTCACCATTTGATGGTTTTACTTACCCAGCTGAACCGTTATCATGACTCTAACAGAATCACAGAAGTTGTCTATAACGCGTACAGGACGACGTGTTGATAAATCGAGCAGCAAGATATGTCCTCCTCCTGTCCCTATCCACAGTGCAGTGTTTTTCTGCAGGCAAATTGTCTTCACTCTTCCAGAATAAGCCAGTTTATGTTTGGATTCCTTATTTAGTTTTTCCACTTTGTCCCTACAAGTATGGAGACAATTTGTCTTAAAATTTGGTGGTAAACTATTCCACAACTGCTAATATTACTCCCTCAATACCAGGCTTTTGACCAATCATTCATTAAGAGAAGCTGCACAAATCTCCTGCTAATTACTGACCGACTTGAAACAAACTGGGCTGAAAACTGCTGGACTTCTGAAACTCAGCTGGCCTGATTCAAAAAAACTTTAAACAGGAAGCAGGTACGCTTCCCTTTTCTCTGCCAGTCTGCAGGAGAAGTGTGCTACTCCCACTTACAGAGTGGGAGTAGCACACCTAGAGCTGCTCCTAACCTCACCGTGAAAATGAAACGGGCATGGCACATTATGGGAGAGGAACAGTGTAAATGCTGATGAAAATCACTGTCATTGTTAATAAACCCCTGATCTCCTGCTGCATCTGTGCACTGGAGAGAGAAAACATTCTTCTTCAGGGGATGCAGGAAGTAACTGTATGCAAAAGCATTAGTACCTGAAGGACAGCGAAAGGCTTTCTTCTTTCTTGAGCAGAATTAAATGGACCTTCTTGAAATCACAGACAAGTTGTGAAATATAATAAGGGTCTTTTAAACAATGAGATTCTGTACGGGATATTCTGAATTTCTAGGCCAAAAGAGAGGAAAGGAATTCCACATTTGCCCAAAGAAGTGAGCAAATCCCTTACCTCCAGCAGGTTAAGGTACTGTGCTAGAGAAGGCAATCTGATATTCAGCTTTCTGTGCAGCAGGCCATCAATCTGAAATAAAACTTACCTAAGGAAATGTGCACAGTCGATCAGTTCAGAAAGTTTTTCTGTCTTCTTGTCCCAGATTTCCACAAAATGGCTGCTTTTCTTTGCCAAGTAGATGGATTTGTCTATTGCTATTGAAATAATGTTTGCATCACTGTAAGCATTGTGACAGAACCTAGAAAAAAGAACTCCAGTTAGATACACAGAAGATACCTGGCAGAAAAACTTCACTACTATGCATGGGGGTTAAGCTTCCCTCTAACTCTTACAGAATCATTCAGCCTTAAATCCAAAATGGGCTAGGATACAACTGAAAGGGTCTGCTAGAAATCTTCCTACGGTTCGACCTACGCGCTCACAGTAATGGAGTTATGCTGATGACATCCCTAGAGGCACATTAATGCCCAAAACCTATTAATAAATCTTTCCCATCTGCCTGCTCAAATCACATATGTTCACATCACAGCAGGGCAAAGTCCACCTTTCTCCTGACAACACTCGGTCATTCCCACAGGGCCCACCAGACCATAGAGGGTCACTCAACACGAAGATGACTGTGTACAAAGCAGCAGTGAGATTCAGTTCACCTCTCTGCTCGTTTCATGTCAGCTGAGCGCCTTTTTCACTATTTTCCTCGACAGAAGAATTTGCCTCTCATACCAGATCTGTTCCTGCATGTGTCTAATTACTGGCTCTGTGATTTAACAGCATTAGCTTCTTTCACTGACTCTTCAAGTCATCTTGAGGAACAGCTCAAAATCACAGGTCCCTGACAGCAGACACTCGGGAACACTGCTACTTTCCCCAGTGTTACTTTTTTTAGGCAACTTTATTTTCAAAACCATGTAAGTTTTACCTCCACAAAGCTCTGACTATTCCCGTGATGTATTTTGCCTCTTGCCATTGAACTGTATTTTACTGAAGCTTTAGTTTCTTGCTTTATATTAACACCTTATTTTCCAAAGCAAATTAATTTCCCAGAGTAATGATCTCTACAAGCATAAAATCCAACACTGCTTTCCCTGCTCAGGAAAAATTCCCCTTAGTTTCAGAGCAGGATTTGTCCATGTGAGATTATATCAAACACTATAAAAATGTCTAGATTCTAAATAATGGGAAGTCAGCAATCATATATGATTTAACTCTAGAGGGCAAAGACACACACACATACCATACTGACAGACACATGCAAATACCATGCAAAGTACGTGTGTACAGTTCTAAATAACGTAAACAGGGCCTGGCCAAATGTAGTTGAGGGAGAAAAACTGATCAGTTGCATTTATACATTTTCTGAATAAATACTGACCTCATAAATCCTTTATATAGTAAAAATGCATAGGACATTTAAAATCAGCAGTAAATACTTTAAATACTACTTACTGATCTTATTTTATTGCACATTGTGTTCCATCTATATTATGGAAGGAAAAGAACGGGAACAAGAGAACTCAAAGAACAAGACATTACATCAAAGTACTGCCAGAAAACTTCAATGCAGACAACAGCCAAATAACATAATTTATTAAAAACCAAAAACTTACAGCTGACTTGTCTTTGTTTCAATGAGCTTTTGAACAGAGAAATCACTAGTTAAGGCAATGATCTTTGTTCCACAGCCTCCCCAGATTATATTTTTTTCAGATAAGCATGAGGATTCGTTTAAGCACATCAGCGGTGTGCTAACATTTCCTATGATTAGTATCTTCAAAGGTGTAGCACCCTTACACTGCAAGAAAAGACACACTTTCCATGAGAAACAAGGCATGTACAGACACTCAGAAACCATTAAAACAAGGCCACATGGCCTGCTGAATCAGATTTACACCGCCAGGTTTGCTGAGCCATTGTGGTATCTCACCAGAATGTTAGAGACTGAAAAGCACAGTAGTCTCATCATAGGTGTCCCATAGAAAAGAGCCCGTGTGAGTGGGACTGACACTTTCTGCAACCCCTGGCACAGTTCAAGAAGTGGATGGAAAGTCACATCCATACCTTGGAGCCATCCCACACTGGACCATATTCTAGTTCTGCAATACATTGCAAATCCGTAGCTGCTCTAAATTGCATTTGCTCAGGAGCTAACCCTCAGGAACCAGCTGATACGAACAGCTCCCAACATCTCTGTCTGCCCTGTGAGCAGACCTCTGACCTACAGAAAATCTAAACAATACTGTCTTCTTGAAGATATCTATTTTACAAAAATTTAGCATGAACAAAAAAAAAAGGAGCTCTAACAGCAATAAGTAAAGATTAAAACGCTTACAATATTCTTAATAACAATTATTAATGTCACTGTCTAGCCAGTTTGCCAGGCCTTTCAAAGTCCTACAATGAGAAATAATTTCCCCCTCTTAACCATATTGGTTAAAACAGATATTGTGAAACATGTGCAGTCCCTCTAAGGCTGCAGTAGAAAATTATTTTTAGTTTCAGAGAAGCAGTTAAAAATTAAGCTGCATGAAATAAAGCTACTATTGGTAGTTGGTTTACATATTACTGATATTATTTTGTAGAACAGACAGCAAAGAACAAGTCTACCTTTACTGCTCTGTCTTCAAAAACTGCCAGTCTGCCATCAGCTGTGCCTACCAAGAAGAAATTCTTCTGTTTGCTGAAACAAAGTAAGAGAATGAATTCTAGGAACACCTGAAACAGGTTTGAAAAATTTCAGTGAGTAGCTTCTGGTATGTCAAGAGTTTCACTGAACACTAAAAGCAAATACAACCACCTGTGGTCAGGAATGTAGTCTCCAGCCACACCGGCTGCACAATTAAGTGGAATTACAGGCAAAATAAGCAGTTGCCTGAAAAAAACTGAATGAGTGTACAGATGTCATCTTCTGCACATCTCTGTTTAGTTCTACTTTCAAAGTGTAACCCAAAATATTAAAAATTCATTTATACCTTTGTTTTGAAAGGGAATTACAGTATAAACAAGTGATGGAATCTGACATTTTCTGCAAACGATGCCTTCTTGTTTCATCTTCCGTGTTAAGTGCCCACAGAGAACCAGACTGGGTTCCTGCTACAATCCAGTTTTCTTTCTCAGGAGGAAGAGTCACTAAGGCCAAACTTAAAATTTTACTATCTGCGATATCCTGAGTCAGAAAAAAAAGAAAAGCATCTGGTTATGATTTCAGTAAGGGTAAATGCTAGTTAATTGCTGGTAATAAAAATAAAGTACAATCCTCTTGGACCCTGGACAGACCCTAGACCCTGGCCTAACCGCCCCATTAAGAAATCTAATTCCCTAGTAGCAGAATATGTCTTCAACTGTACCATTGATCTTCATAGGGCTGGGAAGGACCCCTCAAACAGGACACAGGGAAATCTCTGAGCTGAATGCTGTAAAAAATATTGTCTCTCTATTCTAATGAAGGTCTCAAAGCCACCAGCGAATTAAGCAAATCGAACTACACTGCAATATACGCTCAGTTTAATTGCTAACAATGAAAGTGCCGGCCTAGTATTTCTGCTTATTTTAGTTTTAGAAAATCAAGCCATATAATTTATACCAAAGCTACCAATTCAAATGTATCGTGGTCAACAGACAGCAGATGGAAAGATAACTTCAACAACTCTGATGATGAATCACACTCGGTTCTGGCACACATGTTCATCACAGGACATCAAGCCTGGGTAAAACGTTTTTCCTTTTCTGATGGCACAGGACTGAGATGTACAAAAAGCAAACGAAAAGGGCTGGAGGGTATCACCCAAAGTGTCACAAGAAGGTGGCATCCACAGGAAGAGGGGAATTGTTAAGAAACTAGCTAGAATGTTAGGGGAGGAAGAGAGATCATAGAATCATAGAATCACTAGGTTGGAAAAGACCTTAGAGATCATCCAGTCCAACCGTATCTGTCCACCACTAAACCGTATCTCTCAGCACCTCATCCACCCGTCTCTTAAACACATCCAGGGATGGTGACTCCACCACCTCCCTGGGCAGCCTGTTCCAGTGCGTGATAACCCTTTCGGTGAAGAACTTCTTCCTTACATCCAATCTAAACCTCCCCTGGCGCAGCTTGAGTCCATTCCCCCTCGTCCGATCATCTGTCATTAGGGAGAAGAGACCAACACCCACTTCTCCACAACCTCCTTTCAGGTAGTTGTAGGCAGTGATCAGGTCTCCTCTCAGCCTCCTCTTCTCAAGGCTAAACAAGCCCAGTTCCCTCAGTCGCTCCTCATAAGACATATTCTCCAGACCCTTCACCAGTTTTGTGGTGAAGCATTGTATAACTGTTACTTCTTGTTCTAGCCTCCATGCTAGAAATAGCTTCCATGTGAGGGGAAGAAAGGAACCCAGTAAGGGAAAGACATTATTATGAGAAAGTTCAGGCTGGATGGCAGGAAGAGAGGAAAAACTGACTGCATTTCTGATTCAGCTCACGGATGCTGTGATGACTCACTAAGGAGCAAACTTGGTTCTCTCAAAGCTTAGCTTTCCAGAAGGAATAACCTACTGTTAAAATGCAATTAATTCTCCTGAAATACATCTGGGTGCCAAAAAATTAGGATAAATGGCAACTTTCCCACGTACCTCACAAGTATGCCCATCGGTATTTAAATTAATAAAGGAAAGCTGTGCTTTTTCTGTGTTCCCATTGCCTATCCAGACGCCTGCCTTCTTGCAGCTTTGATTGGCAGCTACCATGCACTCTGCCGTGGACGTGCTGGGTATCGAAACATACCTCATCAAACAGATAAGCTCAGCAGAATTCAGGATCTCATAAACCTACAAAGCAAGCCACAGCAGGCACATGGTAAAAACGATAGTTTGTGGAGTGTTAAATAAATAACAAGCAAAGGATAACAATGTTTTATGGAAAACGGACATAATGTCTCAGCAGGTCTGCTCCCACTATTGATTGAGCAGAATTGTACAGAGCAGAACTGTATTCCCACTATTGATGAGCAGAATTTGTACATCTGTACATCTTCACGTTGACTCTTACTTTTTCCGTTAAAATTCCAGGAAGTCAATGACATTAAGGCCATGTTTATAATGTCTTAGCAGGTCTGCTCCATTGTATTCCCACTATTGATGAGCAGAATTTGTACATCTGTACATCTTCACGTTGACTCTTACTTTTTCCGTTAAAATTCCAGGAAGTCAATGACATTAAGGCCATGTTTGAAAATATCACCCATTTCAAAGCGCAATGTGGTGTGTAGTAACAGACAGTAGGTTTCAGATCCACGCTGCTCTTCCTGCTCCCACAAGCATGGAACAGTGTAGGCTGACCACCCTGATGCTATGTAACAGTCCTTTTTTTGCACAGCTCTAGGAAAGACCATGAAGTAATACAGATCCTGTTTCGCTACACTCACTATACAGCAACACAGGGAAAAACAGTAGGCTGGAAGAAATGGTTGGTAGATTTCAGTGAACAGTCTATCCTGGATGGCAAAAGGAGGCAATATTCCATGGCTGTTTCAGTCCCACAAAAGAACAGAAAAAGCCCTGTGCCTCTTTACTAACTTCAATGTCCCATTCCTTTTTAGAAAGCACAACAACTTCATGGTGTCATCTATCACAAAAATACAAATAAGTACACTAAGGGATACCTGGGAAGATGTCGGTCGTTCCTGAGGGTTTTCCTTCAAACACTTTTTAATTAAATTTTCAACTTTAGGCCAGGGGGCACATCCATATTCTTTGACAGGATCTAAAATATAAAATAAGGTAACTTCTTAACCAGCCTTCACCATAGTTCAGAAATGAGAGTTCTGAATAACTTTCTTCTTAAGAATTCATCTAACTTCTTACAGAGCTGCTCTCAGTAATACCCTCCTCTTAGGTAAAATGTCAGCATGAACAGCTTGGAATTCCTCACCTGCCATTAAATGCTAGAGCATGAAATGCTACAGCTAGAGTCCTTTTCATTAAAAGCAGTTAGAGCCAATGCATTTTGCTTTAACTTTTTTTAATGTCCCTACACCTAGGCCTGAATGCCAGATACGTGAGAATTTTGTTTTGATTAATGCTGACTATTCAAGGGCACGTCATTTCAGTCTGTAGTCTTGTCAGCCCTGTTAACATTTTTCTCCACATCTATTCTTCTGTGTTTTGGGTAGAGTACACATGAACTTCCAATAAAGTGTATGGGGATTTAGATAAAGAACTCCATATAGTATTTATGAGACCTGAAAGTTTAAATTCTCACTCAGTGCTTTGATTACGTATCTTACGACTACAGGTGCTGACCTCTCTAAGAACAAATCACTCATGAATAATGGTGCTGTAGTGCTTTTCCTTTTAGTTCATTGTAATCCACAGCAGATATCCCAGTCCTACATTAGACAGAGGTAACATTAATGATAAATGCCCTGTTCAGCAAATGATAGGCACTGTTTACTTGAGAGCTCAGCCAGGCCATTTTTGCTGAAAATATATGAATGCTGGAGCACCTCTCCTGTGGGGACAGGCTGAGAGAGTTGGGCTTGGTCCGCCTGGAGCAGAGAAGGCTCCGGGGGGAACTCATTGCAGCCTTCCAGTACCTGAAGGGGCTACAAGGAAGCTGGGGGGGACTTTTTATAAGGGCCTGTAGTGACAGGACAAGGGGTAACGGGTTTAAATTGAAAGTGAGGAGGTTTAGATTAGATATGAGGAAGAAGTTCTTCCTGGAGAGGGTGATGAGGCACTGGAACAGGTTGCCCAGAGAAGCTGTGGATGCCCCATCCCTGGAAGTGTTCAAGGCCAGGCTGGATGAGGCTTTGAGCAACCTGGTCTAGTGGAAGATGTCCCTGCCCATGGCAGGGGGGTTGGAACTAGATGGTCTTTAAGGTCCCTTCCCACCCAAACCATTCTGTGATTCCATGACTTTTCAGTCTTAAAGATGCTTCGTGAGTATATCCACTACTGCAGGGCAATAAATAAGGACACCACACATTTAGCTTGTAGTACTATAAAAATTCAGCAGCTCTTTAGACAGAAGTTGTTAATACTGAGTAACATTGTCCAGCTGACTACATAATGTCCAGCCTGTTTAATCTCCCTTCCAGCAGCCAACAACTACGCATTGCAATGCAGATGGAATATGGAGAATGTTAAATAGCTGGGCAAGGACTTCACACTCTTCTCAAGTTAAAATGCAATTTCTATGTAAAACGTTTAGGGGTAGCTGCCCTTTTAAGGTAGCTGCATTTTGTTAAAAATACAATTTCAAGGGCTTTGTTAAAAGGTTTTAAGAAATGCAGCTTCTCAATAATGGCTTTTTTAAACGTAATATATCACGATCAAAGAACAGAAGGGAATTTGTCTTTATCTAAGTGCATGATAGGCATTATCACAGTAATATGTAAGGGACAAGTCCAGGCATGGTATTAGAAGTTATCTTCAGCAACATCCATTTTATGGCTCCAGGTCTGGATAAGATCCCAAGTATACAAAACCTCTATTTCTTTATAAAGTGAACCAGCTAGATCCCTTGAAATTGCAATGAAATGATAACCAACATGATGTTGAATAGAGGCCTATTCCTTGCTATTTCAAGACTATGTAAAATTAGGAGAAGTTTCTAAACATTGCTATTATTTAGTCTCCTCCTCTGATCACTGTCAGATATAACATAAAATGAGAGGTATTATTTTTGGAGGAGGCAGGACAAGTGGTCTGCTTTCATGTTACAGCTTTAACAAGGCATACCTGGTAACTTTCCTTGTATCGCTAATTCATCAAATTCATTTGGAAACTTCAAGCCTTCCATTATTCTACCTCCTCCTGTTAAAATGTCATAAAGCAGCAAGCCAAATGAATAAACATCAGCTTGCTGATTGTAAATAACATTTCCTCTGGCAACCTCCGGTGCTCGAAATCCTGCAAATAAATCATTCATTACTAGTTATGATTCATACCAAACTGAAGCCATCTTTATCCTTTTAAGAGCAAACACTTATTGATGAAAATGTCAGAGGAAGTAAACCAAAATGGCAAACTATTTCTGGGCTGGCAATAGTTTGCATGTTACAGACCTACCAAAATATCAGCAATCAGTATAAAGGAAGGGGACAGTATGTCAGTTACAGAGCTCCAGCCCCATTACACATAAAATAATTCAGTTAATGATGAATACTGAAAATGCTGGGCAAGTTTGCCATCTTTAGTGAAGGCCTAATATTTAACACTTGAAGTCACACCCTCGTGCACAATTTCCAAGACCTAAAGACACTTTTGGAAATTGCTGAATTGTTCAGTGCTTTAAAATGGGTGGTAATCTCTGAAGTCATGGAACAGTGCAGGTACTTATTGCCTTTAAAAAAAATTACTGAAAGTTAAAGAGCAAATAATTTTAGCAGTATAACTTCATTATCACAATAACCATATTAAATCAAGACATAAAAAAAAATTAATGCATGTAATTTAATTTATCTTTTTAAAGATAACCCCTTGATTCTAAAGTGTATACTGACAGTTTCTTCCAAAAGGGATGAAAACATGAATGCCAAGAGGTGTAAACCTGGCATCACCTCTTGTAACACGATTAGGACTACATTGTGATTTTGACTATAGATTTGAGTTACTTCTTACAGACTAAGTAAAAAACATATTAGCTATTTTTTTAACATAATGGACTGTAAACCAAAGCATTTTTCTATACCTGGTGTGCCTTCGGAGGTTTTTATTCCCATTCGGCAACAATATTGGGCAATGCCATAGTCAGCTATTTTTGCAATAACAGCTGAATTGGGATACAGGGTAAAGAGCAACACATTGTGAGGCTTTAAATCACGGTAGATGATCATTGCTGAATGCAGGTACCTGTTAATCAAAAAAGTATTCATTGAAAGCATTCGTAATTCAGGGATGCATCTATACACACACACTGAATGCATTATTCCCACAACAGTAAATTGTGCTTTCAGATATTAAATACTGTGTTAAAAAACGTCAGACATCACCGACATGACACCGGCTTACTGGATCCTGACTTCAGAATTGTTCTGAAATAATATTTACTGGCTCATAAACATTGCAGTATTTTAGTACCAAGTCTTTTCTGAAGTGTCACTGGCAGTTTGAAAACTGAATCTTAGAAGTTTAAGCTCCATTGCTTCCTGATCTTGGCAGGTTTTGTGGTTTTACAGTCACACATCACTAGCTCCTGAGGACATTCCTGGACTTTCAGAACTTTAAAAATGTACTAAATTAATGTCTTTGACATTGCAGTACGAAATCAACAGCCAGATAGAAATTCCATCTAGAGCTCTTGCTATTTCTCTACTTAGATGAGTGCCACGTTAGCAGGAAAAAACAGGCAACAAAAGCTTGTGTTATGTATCAGCTAATCGATCATACAGAGAGAAGCATTTGTCTGACCCAGGGAATACTCTGTCTGAGATATAAGAAAAGATGCGTTTTTCATCTGCATCCTACCTGCAGCCATATCCTGTTTTTACAGCAACATAGAAGTCACATTTACCTTAAGCCATCAGCTACATGTAGAGCTATCCTGTGCTGAAGTGTTCTAGTTAAACTTGCATTGTCTTGTTGAAGCAAACGATCGAGAGATCCTTTAAGGGCTAGTTCCATCACCAGCATCCGGGGACGGATTGCAGCAGCCAGCAGAGACACTAAACTGGGGTGATGGAGGTGACAAAGCACTGCGAGCTCCTGTAAATCATAAAATCAGATTAAATAGTGCAAATAGCATAACCTCTGTAGCCCTGAAGTAAACTCAGAAATGTTTTGGAGTGATGTCTTGCGTATTACTTAAGCTTTTTAAAGTCTTCACTAGGGTTAGTATTCCAAAAGCACCCCTACAGAAAGAAGGCAATGTTTCTTACTTGTCTTAGAAGCCTGAGGGAAGTATGTTTATTGAAAATCTTTACTGCAACATCTTCTCCACCATAGGATGCACGGTACACAGATCCAAACCCACCATCACCTTTTCAGAGATAAAATTGAAAAGAATATTAAAACCAAAGAGATCATCGAACCATAGAATCATAGAATGGTTAGGGGTGGAAGGGACCTTAAAGATCATCCAGTTCCAACGCCCCTGCCATGGGCAGGGACACCTTCCACTAGACCAGGTTGCTCAAAGCCTCATCCAGCCTGTCCTTGAACACTTCCAGGGATGGGGCATCCACAGCTTCTCTGGGCAACCTGTTACAGTGCTTCACCACCCTCTCAGGGAAGAATTTCTTCCTGATATCTAATCAGGAAGATTAGATATCTTCCGTTACCCCTTGTCCTGTCACTACAGGCCCTTGTAAAAAGTCCCCCTCCAGCTTCCTTGTAGGCTTCTTCAGGTACCAGAAGGCTGAAATATGGATACCAACCATTTCTCAAAAAAAACCTTAAAAAAGCTGAGAGGGTGCAATTTTAAAATGTGTGGATCATCTACTCTGTTAAGCTTCATGATCAGTAATCTAAACACATAGAAAAGTGTCCTAGCATACAAGTTAATGGAAAATCTAAACTAAATAACCTGAAATTCAGAACACTTTAAAAAATATGTTTCCACAGAAAAGAATCTCTGATGTTTTCCATATGTTGCAGAACTGACTTCAATAGATTCATTTACATAAGCTCTGTAAAAAAACCCTGCCCAATAACGCTTACCCAAGAGAAATTCGGGAGCTTCATCAAATTCCAGGTCATCGCTGTTCAACATAATATTTCTAGGCAAATCAGCCAGTATCAGGTCAGGAGCAATCTGAGCTATGGGGATGGTATGTCTTGGTTGCTCTGGATTTACCAAAAGGTCACCTAAGAAAAATAAACGAGACAATTTAAAAAAAAGGGTTGACACCATTCAAAAGGCACCAAAAGGTACATGGATCTCTGAGTGAGTATATATATTTATAAGCACACACACATAAACATACATTTATACATATATATGGAACAGAACATTAAGTCTATCACTTAATGTTACATGGTTTAAGTATTTTCAAGGTTCTGTATATGTACCAATCAAATGTGATAGCAACTGTTGCTGTGTAACAACACCAAACTTAGCAAGAGATTATTTTTCTGCTTATAAAAAGAAAGAATTCTCTTTGTATGTGGAATTTCATCAGGAATGTTGCCTTTTAAATGACTGTTGTATGTGGTCCAACCAAAAGATCTAGCATCAGTTCTACTGTGTGCTGGATTCAATTCCATGAATGAAGTTGCATTATTGGTATCATAACTAAACCATTCTTTTCATTACTGCCATTTATACATGAGTATACAGAGTAGTTGCAATCCGTCCCATATTCTATACTTACACAGATGGCACTTACATTAAAAAAATAACAAGTTGCTTTTGACTCATATCATAATTATTTCTTACAGAAATTAAACATTTTAAAATAATGAGAAGTCCCCATATGCTATAAAGGGGATGTTATATACTATTTATCTACATACAGGTATACCTGTAACCTCAAATGGCATAAATATATACCTTCTTCAGCTTTTTTAAGTAAGTCATCAAGTAGTATTTTTTGGTGTTCTTCACCGTCCTGAAAGCTGTACAGAGCCCATTTCTTCAGCAGCGTTTCCCCTTCACCACATACATCTATATCCAGCAAACCTGGAAACCATTCTTCCATAAGAGAATCTATGTGATCCACAACTTGCCCCAGAAGGATGCACCCTTTAAGAAACCAAGAGAGGGAAATTACAGCCTCGATCTGCCATACTTGTAATTGCAAAGCTAAACTCTACATTCCAAAGGCAAAAGCACAACAAACCAAAATGCCAAGCTGCAATCAAACTGGAGGAAAAGTCAGGCTCAGGAATAATTAACCTTTTCTGCAAGAAGGTGCTGTAATTTTCAAAAAACTGTCTGGGTTGTTGTCAAAGAGTGCTGATTCCACTAGACAATAAGCTTCAGGAGACCAGTTCAAGTAGATGCCTTGTCTCCAATACATTCTATTAGGACGAAGAGCTCGCTCTAGAAAATACAAAATTGGATTAAAAATCTGACCTCCAAGAAGACTGTCCTATTTTAAAACATGCAGAATAATTTGTGGTACTTTCCATATTTAATTGTGATTGTAGGTTTATGCCTTCCCAAATAACAAACAAAATTAAGGCTACAACTTCGCAGACAGAACAATCTCACAAAGGCTAAACATATGTCAACTGGTGTTCAGTTCTACAAAGCACATCCCCAAACGAAATATTTAATCAGATGATAAGTCATGCATTGGGGGAATGCATGGAGGGACTACAGAAATGCTTAGGTTCATCCAGGTTCCAATACAGAGTGTCTTAGGCAACATATGAAAAAAAGTGAGTGATTTAAAATTTCCCTCTATCACACACATGTAAAACAGCAAGATGAGACTGGAATTCTTTGCTTAGGAGGAAACTGAATGCCAAGCGAGCAGGCAGTTATAAATCATATTTGTAGAGCATCAGCAATGTATATTTTTCATATTTACTTGTCACCTGTATTCATAAATCACACACTAAAAAGAGATAAATGAAATTGTAAAGTTCAGCAGACAGATCTCCTGTCAAAGCATGGAATTACTGGAAAGAAATTAAAGACCTCCTTCTGATAAAAGCAAAGTTTTTAGACTTTCATAAAAGGGCAGTTATTGAACCTGAAGAGAAGCAGTTTGGTTTTCTGTGAGGAAGACATGTCCTTTCCTGTTTTCCCTGTAGAGGTGAACGACAGTGTTGCATAAATATAAGATCTCTGGCACACGACGGAGAGAAATAGGCTGCTTACAACCTTCACTCCCTTCTGCACACCACTTTAAAGATCAGACATTCTCTGGACATTTCTAAGTTACAAAAATGACCACTGATCTTTTTTTCACATTTGTGAAGTGGCCAGAAATTACCTAAAGCAAAACAATAGTGGGATTAGAGATTTAACATTCAAAGCAATTATGCTCACTATTGCTTTTGAGGATAAAGATTTATACCTCTTCCTGACAGCATGTAAGGTGATATTTCAAGTAACCTGTTGATCAGTCTGGACCAAAATCCCATAGGAAAGTATGGCATCTCATAAAGCCGGATGATAATTTCTGAATTTTCACAGTGGGGAAGCTCTATAACAGGTCTGTTATCAGATAAACTGAAAGAATAAAAATATTAGACAGTATTTAATTATGTACTTTATCCAAACTGAATGATGACAGATGTTATTTTTTATGTGAAATGTATTGTTTATTAATGAATGAATGATTCAGATTATCAGGGAGCAGCCAGAGAGTATACATGCTCATTCTGCTTGCTTGTGCTAAAGTGAAGTTCTACTGTAACTTAAACCAAACAGCACCTCCCTAACAATCAATAGGTATCAAATGTAAATGTGAGACATATAGAAGGCAGGCAAGACATTCAGATGAAATCTTCCTATTCCAGGACTTTGAAGAATATAGAAAATCTAATCATTGCAACCATGCAACGCTCTCTCCATTACTGGCTGGATGGTGGCACTCAGAGAGTGGTGATCAAGGGCTCAATGTCTGAGTGGAGACCAGTGACGAGCGGCGTTCCTCAGGGGTCAGTACTGGGATGGTGCTGGTTAACTTCTTTGTTAGTGACATGGATGATGGCATTGAGTGCACCCTCAGCAAGTTTGCCGACGACACCAAGCTGTGTGGTGCAGTCGACACGCTGGAGGGAAGGGATGCCATCCAGAGGGACCTTGACAGGCTGGAGAGGTGGGCCACTGCCAACCTCATGGAGTTCAACAAGGCCAAGTGCAAGGTCCTGCACCTGGGTCAGTCAATCCCAAACAAAAGTACAAGCTGGGCGGAGAATGGAATGGGAGCAGCCCTGAGAAGAAGGACTTGGGGGTACTGGTAGATGAAAAGCTGGACATGAGCCAGCAGTGTGCGCTGGCAGCCCAGAAAGCCAACCGTATCCTGGGCTGTGTCAGGAGAAGTGTGGCCAGCAGGTCGAGGGAGGGGATTCTGCCCCTCTACTCTGCTCTGGTGAGACCCCACCTGGAGTGCTGCGTCCAGCTGTGGAGCCCTCAATATAAGAAAGATATAGGCTGGTTGGAGCAAGTCCAGAGGAGGCCACAAAGATGCTCAGAGGGCTGGAGCACCTCTGCTATGGGGACAGGCTGAGAGAGTTGGGCTTCTTCAGCCTGGAGAAGAGAAGGCTCCGGGGAGACCTTATAGCACCTTCCAGTACCTGAAGGGCCTACAAGGAAGCTGGGGGGGACTTTTTACAAGGGCCTGTAGTGACAGGACAAGGGGTAAGGTCCCTTCCAACCCAAACCATTATATAATGCTAGATTTAGCAAAACAAGCATTATTAAACACATTAGGGAAATCTGTAACAGAGGCAGAGAAACCGTTGCCTGCTTCACATAAAGCAAAAAGACTGAATTGAAATTCATAACACGTTTTTGGTCATCACATTTAATAACTAGACTGTTTGGAGGAGATACTGCCTCTGAGTAACCTGGCTATAGAAATTCAGTTCTGTTTTATATTGCAATAAATATCTGTAATGCTAGCCCACCATGATGTAAAGCTAAATTAAAATCTTCCTGCTGTAGTCTCAAAGCATGGTAACAGTGAAAGAAATATTAACCTCATAAAGCATTTTATCATTTATAGATTCCATTTGCCCACCATGCTAATATGATGTAAGCTTTATCTGCTACAAGATCAGCTTAACACTTCTGTGAAAGCATTTCCTAAAATGTAGTCTAGTAAGCATATATCGTGCTTTCATATACCAAACTGCTTTGATGGTCAGTTAAACTAGTTAGCCTGATGGGAGGTTTTTATTTTGATTGATTTTATGGCTCTCATTTGTAGGTTTAACTCTTTGCTCACCTGCTTGGGATTAGTAGTTGATCCTCTCCTAATGGCAAAGCAATCTGAAACTTTTCTAGAAGCTTAAAGTATTGTGACATGTAGATCTTAGGAAACTTGCTCTTCTTTAAAAGAAATTTTTCCACATCTGAACGCTTTACAATTCCCTTAGGATATTTAGAGGAGCCGTCCACTTTCACTGTCAGAATCTTTCAAAAAAAGTAAAAAAAAAATAATCAGGTGTACAGTCATCATTAGATTGCATTTTCCTCACAAACTTTGTTCCCTGGAATATCTGGTAGCCCATTATTTAGGTGGAAACAATGGACTCAATTTCAGTGAAACCAAACATTTCCATAATGCTAGCCAGCAAGATAGCAGTGAAAAAATTTAACCTGTCCAAGCCACTGGTGTGCTACCATTCTTCAGTAGCTTCCACTATGTGTATTCCATGGAAACGTATCCTACAAGTTAATTTGTGAACTTGTTCTCTGAAAGGAGCCTATGTGCAGTGATCAGCACTTCACACAAGCATACTGACATGGACAACACCATCTTCTAGGCCTTTGCTCATTCTTAATCTCAGCACCTTTAAAGTCTCGAACTTACATTTTTGCTATCCCATTTCCTGTACTGAACAAAAGGTAAAGGTTCAGAGGTTAGGAAATCTGAATTACATATAAAAAATTTTGAGGGTCTTTGTAGATGAACATATCAATGATGGCCTAACTTAAGCAGTCAGTCAGCTACCTTCCCATCCCAATATATGACTCTGTATCGCTCACTTTGCCATTGGTACCAAGCATACAGTGACCCTTCTTTCTCCATTCTTACTACTTTAATCAAACTTTCAACTCTCACTTCAACCTGCCACAACATACTGCAGGACTGCTTTGCATCCCTGGAGTTTTTCAATTTTACACGGATTTTTGTGTCTGGTGTAGTTTAAATGATAATGCACGTTACAGTGTAAGAACACAGAACCACTGAGACAGACGATTGTCTAGAAAGCAAAGGAAACAGAAAAAGCCAGGGAAACCAAACTGGGCCCTGAGAAAACTCTAGATCATGAAACAGTAAAAATGGTGAAGCAGAATGACTAAGAAGTTGCAGTGGTTTGAGACAGGGGAAAAAGTTCCATGAATGCAGGTACAAAAAGTAGAGTCTAACCTGTGCCATGATTTTACATAGCCACTTAGGATCTACAAAATATAGATCTCTTAGCTGCAGTGCTGGGTCTTGAAAATGAAGGAGTACACCTGCACAAAGAACACTGTAATTAGCAATGCATTTCTCAAGCTCCCTATTAAGCAAAATAAATACCCAGTCTGGGCTGTTTTTCTTATATGACTTGACATAAGCAATTTAAATAATCATAGAATCATAGAATGGTTTGGGTTGGAAGGGACCTTAAAGATCATCTAGTTCCAACCCCCCTGCCATGGGCAGGGACACCTTCTACTAGACCAGGTTGCTCAAAGCCTCATCCAGCCTGGCCTTGAACACTTTCAGGGATGGGGCATCCACACCTTCTCTGGGCAGAAGAAGTTCCAGCCCCTCACCACCCTCTCCATGAAGAACTTCTTCCTGATATCTAATCTAAACCTCCCCACTTTCAATTTAAACCCATTCCCCCTTGTCCTGTCACTACAGGCCCTTGTAAAAAGTCCCCCCCAGCTTCCTTGTAGGCCCTTCAGGTACTGGAAGGCTGCAATAAGGTCTCCCCGGAGCCTTCTCTTCTCCAGGCTGAACAAGCCCAACTCTCTCACCCTGTCCCCATAGCAGGGGTGCTCCAGCCCTCTGAGCATCTTTGTGACCCTATTCTGGACTTGCTCCAACCAGCCTATATCCTTCTGATATTGAGGGCTCCACAGCTGGACGCAGCACTCCAGGTGGGGTCTCACCAGAGCAGAGTAGAAGGGCAGAATCCCCTCCCTCGACCTGCTGGCCACACTTCTCCTGATGCAGCCCAGGGTATGGTTGGCTTTCTGGGCTGCCAGCGCACACTGCTGACAATAATAAATAAGGCTGCTGGATTTATGTCAATATCTCAGGAGAGTAGAATGCAATCATGGTTTGTTCAGCTTTGTTTTCAGATGTTTTGTTAGATTTGTAATCTGACTTGGGCTTTTGTCAAGCAGCTATGGTCTGTGTGGTTTATTATTTAATCTTATGAAGTCTGTATGGCACTAAAATAAGCTGTTACATACATTCACCTAACTGCTCTTCTGTTCATGCTATTATTGCAATTACATCTTTCTCCAGAAACTGTGCTGTCTAACCAGAAGGTATCATGTTTTCAAGGAGGGGTAAGATATATAGACTGTGATCTTTTGTATCATGGAATTCCTTTGTGACATAACAACAGGGATTATGAAACTAATGTTACCCACGCTTATGCATTTCAGCTCAACACTTAGTGGCAACCTCGTGCAAGATTTAAAAATGGATACAGGTCTGTCTGCTGCCGATTTGCAACAAAGTGCTAACAAACATACATTGAAAATAATATTTTACCTGATTCATTCAGAAAGTGAATCGCGTGAGGGAGTTCATTTTCATCCAATTGTAACTGGCTTTCTTGTACCAGTTCCAGTAACCGTTTCTGATCAATCACAGGAAATTCAACTGGGACATTTTTACGTTCCAGCAATATTCTCTTCTCCAGCTCCAGGTAGCTGTCAGGAATTAGTTGACCAACCACTGGTTGATCTCTGATCTGTATAATTAAAAATAATAATCTTAAATGTATTAATTGAGTCATGTGAAATACAGACAATAAAACTAAGATCTAAGTTAGGTATTTCCACTGAATAGTAGCAGAAAGAAGGAACAACACGACTCATTTATGGATCAACATGGCTTCTGAAAGGTAGATGTAACTAATTCTTCTTTCAGAATTATAATATGAATATCCTTCTATAAATGAATACTCAAATAAGGAAACATTTCCATATTAGATCACTTAAAAAAAAAAACCCAAACAATGTCTTCTCAGAAGATGTCATTTCAAAGAGAAGCTTTGATTTGAAGTAAAATGAAAATATTCACTGTATGACCAGATGACATCATACATCTTAGGTTAACAAAGAAGTTAAACACCAATGCAGTGTGGCATTTTTATGTGTCAAAAATGTAATTAGTACCTAGTGTAATTTCAAAGACTCAGAGCAGATGATGACAATGTTGAATGCTTAACTCACTTTGCCTGACTTCTAAGCAGGGTCCTTATAACACTCCTTTCACAAAGTGTCTATGTTATTTATGGAAACTATCTCCTTTCCTTCAGGCTACCTTACATTTGTATAGAAGTTTAAACATCAGTTTAAGTCATAGTTGCAGGAGACGCAGATATTACAGCAACAATTTTTAGGTATCTAAGAGCAAAATGTTTTAAAAAAGCAGAACATCTCCTTAGTGTTGAAGCAGCGTGGTGAGATATAGGGTTTATATATATTTTTACAAACACTGGATCTGTTCATATCTACTGGTTCTATGAGAAGTGGAATTAAACCATTCCACATGAACAGACCACCTCCATCGGCACTTAGCACTGGTTAGCTGTTCCTTGAACTGTGAATGAAGCTATCCAGATTATGGATGTGGCTAAGGTGGTAGTTTCTGAGGGAGAAACAAGAGATGTGCGTACTCTTTCTCTCCTTTGTAACAATACCAGTGTGAGGCTGGTGACAAGTACACCATTTGCCCTGTAAAATCTTCCCAGTAGTTATTCAGAAGAAATATGGGTTCTGCTATGACTTAGGAAGTTCTACCATTGACTTCAGTAGCACCTTTTCTCTTTAACATGTTATGATGCTACACATGACTGATATTATATAAATAGAACAGAAAAATATGTATATTCCTTTTGCCACAGATTGGATCCTGTCTTTCTACAAGCTCCATGCCTGGGCTAGTCTCTTCATGCTTGCCATTCCCACTTAGAACTTCATGCTGTGGCTAAAGAGAGAGGAGGGAATGAGTGGTAGGGATAACTTTGGAGACAACAAAACTATGCATGTAGATTCTCCAATTTAGGAGGATCATTTGGTCCAAGAGGTCTTCTTTTCCTGCTTAACTTACCCTCCTCTTTCTAGGAATGGTTTTACACCACGTAAAATGAAATCAGCAAATTGAGAGTTAGTTGGCTTTCAGAAATCATAAAATCCTATTTCCAGGTCCCCTGAAATCTTGCAATACTTACTATGGTAATTACACGTTGCCATCCAACAAAACCCAGTTTTTAATCAGATTTCTGCATCCAAAAAAGATGGCCGTTTTTTAATTAAATAGTCTATTTATGGCCCTAATGCTTGAAAACATAACTTAGATGAGATTTTTACTAAGTTGATTTTTTTTTAAATAGAAAATTAATTGAAAACAAACCTGGTGATTTTCCTTAATCATTTTGCTGTGTGTAACATTTTATAGAACTCCAGTTTGCCATCACATTAAATATGTATTTAACTATGTGTTATTCAATATTATAAGATGTATTTACTTAACTAAACCCAGGATGTTTTCAACATTACAAACAGTATGTAGCTTACCTTGAAGTGAAGACTTTCCTTTATTATGATTTTCCGAAGTCTGATAATGGAATCTGATTCTTCAGTAGCATTCACAAAATGATAATCCTGGATCGCTGGGAAGCCTCGCTTATTCAATAGCTCTCTAGTAATTTTACTCATGCAGGCCTTACGTTGCATTTCATCAGAAACATCTAAATGTGTGCCAACAAGAATGACGGGGGATGTTGAAGCTCGAGCCTGTTAGTAAGATCCATACAGTTGATTAACTCAATAGGGAATGTTGACGTTATTGTTTTATATCCACATAAAGTGTGAGCAATTTAGTCAAAACAATCAATACAATGAAAAAAGCAACTGTTTCTCCCTCTTTAACTATACCTCTTTTAAGTTAGTTTGAAATTGGAAATACTATTTCATATTTTTATTCATCGTAAGTTTAAACTGCAACCTCATATAATAGCCCTGACTGGATAAGGCAGTAAAAATGCATAAGCCTGTATATATGAAACATTTTTTAATATACAGAGAGCAATATATTTCAAGATAGAAATACTAAATAATCAGCTTTTCCTAAAAGGCAGCAGTTTTTTATACTTTGCAGATTAATAGCACTGTTAGTAAAATAAGAGGCCCAACTGTATTCTTCATGAAAAACACCCAACAAAACGGAAAAGCAAAAGGTACTCTGCTAGTTGTCATCAAACAGTGGAGCAATGAAACACCAGCAAGTACTGCACAGCAAAGGAGGACACATCAGAAATGGTCTTCACCACCACTAAACTGACTGTAACCCTCTGACCTGTAGCACTGCTCAAGGTGAAAAGAGTGAAAAAGAAAAGTTTAACAAACAGGATCACTACACAAAAGCTTGTAATTGGCATTACCATCATGGCTAATCATCATACAAAAGGAAAATATAAGTAGTGCTCACCATGGGGTGATTCCATCAAAAGATAAGGAAACAGAGCAAAAGAAAAATACATAGGCAGATTCTCAGTCCAATTTCCTTACCATAGTCCTGGAATCGTTCCTATTAACAACAGGATGCTAAGCATACACTTAGCATGATTTCAAACCTGCATTTAGTCAGTTTTAAATGCTTCACATTCTGATTTCCCCAGAATTTACAATGGTGTAAAAGAAAAAGCAGGTTTAAGTTTGTCATCCCTTTCATACTACCCCTTTCTTCAATCGAGTGAATCGCTCCATTCAAAATACTGCCAGAACATACAAACTATTTGCACATCACTGTGCCATTTTAAGTACAAAATGGTACTGGTCATGTCTTTGCATGTCTACGAATAATTTCATATACAATATATGATGTATTTCAGTTCTTGTTTCATCTTACTATTTTTATTTGCTGAAGAGCTGCTTTCCTACTCCCCTGTCTAAAAATATTTGTGGTTAATCTGCTGTTCACCAACAGCTCCCTGGAAAGGGGAATTCCATTCTGTACATATCTATGGCTTACCTTGATGTTAAAAAGCCACGGCTTCATAGCATCCACCTCTGCCTGTCCTTTGCTGAGATCATAAACAGCAAGATATAAAGCTCTTTGGGTCATAAAATGAGGATGGGTACTGTAGAACTCTTCTTGTCCTAAAGATAAAAAAAAATTTACACAGTTTAGTACTGCCCTCACTGAACATCGTCATAGCACAAAAAGGCAGCAGAACACTTGTTCTCAGATTGCTAATCCCCAATGAAATTAAGTCTCACAGAAAAGTATCTGAATTGACTGGAAACCTGTAATAACTTTGAACTTTAGGTAGGTACTCTGTGGTAGCTCATTGACTGAAGTGTACTGTTGAAATATCTAAGCTAATTTTGAATTAAGAAACGTAAGATTTAACAACTGGATAAACATGGTTGCTGCAAAGACAACTTGAAAGTTCAGTAGTAAAGGACAATAAGTTCTTGAAATACCTCCAAAATCCCATACATTTAATACAAGATCTTTCTTCATTTTGCCTTTCCCTTGAATGATCCAGTCTTTTACATCAATGCCTACTGTAGCTTTTGGAGAGCCCAGTTCCGTTCGTTTGCATTTCATTAGTTGTTGTAGCAGGGTAGTTTTCCCACTGCCAGTGTTTCCAACAATCATGAGCTTCATTCTGTTATAAGGTACAGCCTTCTTCAGTCGTTGCTGAAGAAATCTGAAGAAAAACAGTTTGCAGAACTCACAGAAGTGTATAATAAAGAAAAATACCAACAGAACCCAAGACTAAGGAAAAATCTAAAAACTGAACTACAGAGACATGGATTTGATGGATGGACCGCTCGATGGATAAAGAACTGGCTGGATGGTCACACTCAGAGAGTGGTGGTCAACGGCTCAATGTCGGAGTGGAGATCGGTGACGAGCGGCGTTCCTCAGGGGTCGGTGTTGGGACTGACGCTGTTTAACACCTTTGTCGGTGACATGGATGACGGCATTGAGT